GTAACAAATTAGATGGCAAATTCCTTGGCATTCTCATTGACCACAAGCTGAATTTCCAGGGACACATTCTAAATATATCAAAAAAAGTTTCAAAAACTGTGGGCATTCTTTCTAAGATCAGATATTATGTACCACGCCCTGCCCTGGTGACTTTCTATTACTCCCTTATCTATCCATATCTCAACTATGGTATTTGTGCTTGGGGCTCTACTACCCAAAATCACTTACGTCCTCTAATTACTCAACACAAAGCTGCTATTAGGACAATATCCAACTCTGGCCCCAGACATCACTCGGTACCCCTACTCAAATCTCTGAATATGTTAGACATTAAGTCACTGCACATTCTCTCATGTGTATTATACATATATAAAACGCTAAACTATAATGCCAATCCTGACCTCAAAAGCTTCATAGAAGGTTGTAACAGAACCCATGAGCACTACACCAGAAATAAATACAGTTTTGATATTCCTAGAGTACGACTTAATCAAACTAGAAATGCTCTACAAATCAAGGGGCCCAGAATGAGGAATGACCTTCCCAACCATGTTAAAGACTGTACCTCTCTCAACCAGTTTAAGATAAAAACGAAGCTATACCTAATAAATTCCCTGTAACCTACCTTACCCTTCTATTGTCAACCAATGTCTGTTTTTTTTAAAGAGCGCTGTTTGTCGACATAATTGTATTTGTGCTGCTTTTTCAGCTATGTTTTCATTTCTTGTTTTCATTCTACTCTTTATGCTCAATTAGTATTAAGCTTGTCATTTAAGTTTTTCTTGCCCGAAACGCTTTGCGTAATAGTGGCTTTAGGCATTGTATGTACTAGCTCTACCTATAAATCAACCAATCTTTGTAAAAATTTCTTGTATGTATGTACCTTACCTAAATAAACATTTATTTATTTATAAACTGTTTAAAATTAATAAATATAACCAAAGCCGCCAAAGATTGAGGTAAAGATGCACACGTTCGTAAGTACTTGCATAACTGCTTCGTGAATCTGACCCCAGGACGCCGGTTTCAACATACAGGATTAGGGTAGAAGTCGAATAAAAGGTACCAGAGCTGAGGCATAGCCTAGTATGGTGCAGACAGTGACATCAAGTATGGCATTAAGTATGACATCAAGACAGTGAAGAGTAGAAGGAGAAGCAGACGAGTAAGTTTCACCTGTATCGAAACATAATCGAGTTTAGGCAGTACGAGAGAGACTGTAGAGAGAAGCATGCGTCTACCCGCTCCCCAAGAAGTATGGGACAAGACCTTAAGTAGGTTAAGGACCTTAGAGCATTCAACTCGGAGGTAAGAGATACGGGTGATCAAGACAAACGAGTGTCAAAGATTTAACCCCAAAAGCTTAGCGGAATCTTTGTACACAAGGGGATGACCATAAAGCGACAGAGAACAACCTGCTTCCGAGTAAAAGTCATAGCACAAGTCTTAGTTGCAGAGAACATGAAGCCATGATTGGTGGCCCAGGACGACACAGCATCAATCGCAAGTTGAAGCCGTCGTTGAAAGTAAGGCAAGTCATCACCCCGACACCAAAAGGTAAGATCATCGACATAGAGCTGAGAAGATGCCAAAGAAGGAAGGAAAGAAGATCATTGAGTAAGTAAAGTAAAGTCAATTTTATTCAGGAAAGTACATACATATTTGATTTACAAACATAATGTTGGATTTATAAATAGAGCTAGTACATACAATACCTAAAGCCACTAGTACGCATAGCGTTTCGGGCAAGGTGAGGTGAGGGAAAAATCAGTTAGACTAAAACTTAATAGAAATTGAGCTTAAAGTATAAAATGCGTTGAAAAAAAAGAAAAAAGATGAAAAAGGGGGGAACATGGTAGAAAATAGCCAATATACAAGTTGGTCAACAAACAGCATTGTTTAAAAATAGTAAGACATGGGTTGACATTTAGGGGTAAGGCAGGTTACATGGAGTTAATTAGGTAGTACTTAGTTTTCATCAGTCATTAGTATGATTAACTTGATACATACAACACTTGATAAAAATGAGTTCCCTGTTGGGTTATTTGCGTAAGGCATTTGACACTCAACCACCAAAACCTTCTTCTTAAATTACATCATTATGGAGTCAGAGGTCACTCCCTGCAATACCTTCAGTCTTACCTTACTGACAGGCTCCAATATGTTTCTGTGAATAATTTTATTTCTTCTACACTACCAATAAACCATGTGTTCCTCAGGACAGCATACTTGGCCCTCTCCTCTTTCTCATCTACATTAATGACCTTCCAAATGCCTCTCAACACCTCAAACCAATCTTATTTGCTGGTGACACAACTTTCATTTTCTCCAGTCCTGACCCTCTTGCTCTAAATGTCACTGTGAATACTGAACTAAATAAAGTCCATCTTTGGCTAACTGCCAACAAACTCACCCTTAACATTGACGAAACTTTCTATATTTTGTTTGGTAATAAATCCTCAAATGAAATTAATCTAAGAATAAATAATATACAAATCAGTAGTAAAGTTGATGGTAAATTCCTTATTGTCCTCATCGATAACAAGCTGAATTTCCAGGGACACATTCTAAATATAGCAAAAAAGTTTCTAAAACTGTTGGCATTCTTTCTAAGATCAGATATTATGTTCCTCGCCCTGCCCTGGCCACGCTCTGTAACGGTTCTATTGTTACGTAAAGTATGGTGACAATAAACACAGACACTAAGAGAGTATATATATTTGGTCAAGTATACAGAAGTATGCAGGTGATACTTTGGCGAGCAATGGTGAGAGTTGAGCGCACTGAGAGTTGGTACAGTATCTCGCAATTGTCTGTTCTAGACCACACTTGAAAGTAGACTGGCTATTATTCGTTGTTGTTGTTGTTGTTGTTATAGATTCAGCTACTCGGAACAAGTTCCAGGTAGCACGGGCTATGGTTAGCTTACCTGGCACAAGAACGGGGCAAATAGCACGGGCTATAGTGAGCCCATAGTGGACTTACCTGGCACAGGTGCGGTGCCGTCTGGTGTTATTATTCGATTGATTGATTGATGAAGATTAAGCCTCCGAAAAGGTGGCATGGGCATGAATAGCCCGTAAGTGGTGGCCCTTTTGAGTCATTACCAGCATCATTAGCTGATACTGGAGATCTGTGAAGGTGCGACTGCACCCTGCGTGACGGGAAAGATAGATAGATAAAGATTAAGCCACCCCAAGAGGTGGCACGGCATGAATAGCCCGTAAGTGGTACAATTTTTTGTTCAGTAATTCTTTTCAGTATTCTGAGGTTGCATTTAATCGTCAAGCTGTTATCGCGGGAGAGGATACTGCTTGACAGTCTTTATGAGGGTGTCCAGCTGCTGGACACCTTCTTTGACCAAGAGAGTGGCAGTGTTGCGTGACGGGAGATGGTTATTATTATCTCCCGTGGTTATTATTCGATTGATTGATTGATGAAGATTAAGCCACCCAAAAGGTGGCACGGGCATGAATAGCCCGTAAGTGGTGGACCTTTTGAGCCATCTGTGGAGATCTGTGGAGGTGCGATTGCACCCTGCGTGACGGGAGATGTCTCCCGTGAGGTTATTATTCGCTACTCTGCTGCTTATATGCTCGGGAAACACCTCACTGTACTCCAAATGTTGACAGGAATATTATGTGGAAGTTGGGAAAGGTTTGAGTTCCATAATTAGCACTAAGAAGAGCTTTGCTTCTAGGCTAATGCTTCTTTGCTCATTAGGCAAATGCGTTTGGAGCGAGTATATTATTGGGATAATCTACTCGCTACAGCTCTATTACTCTCTCATATATCCTTATCTCAACTATGGTATTTGTGCTTAGGGTTCTACTACCCAAAATCATTTACGTCTTCTAATTACCCAACACAAAGCTTCCATTAGAACAATATCTAATTCTGGCCCCAGACAGCACTCGGTACCCTTACTCAAATCTCTGAATATGTTAGATATTAAGTCACTGCACATCCTCTCTTGTGTACTCTATATATTAAAACTCTGAACTGTAATGTCAATTCTGACCTTAAAAGCTTCTTAGAAGGTTGTAACAGAACCCATGGGCACCACACCAGAAACAAATACCTATTTGATATTCCAAGAGTACGACTTAATCAAACTAGAAATGCTCTACAAATCAAGGGATCCAGAATGTGGAATGACCTTCCCAACCATGTCAAAGGCTGTACCTCTCTCAACCAGTTTAAGATGAAAACTAAGCACTACCTAATTAACTCCATGTAACCTACCTTACCCCTAAATGTCAACCCATATCTTACTATTTTTAAACAATGCTGTTTGTTGACCAATTTGTATATTGGCTATTTTCTACCATGTTCCCCCCTTTTTTATCTTTTTTTTCAACGCAATTTATACTTTAAGCTCAATTACTATTAAGTTTTAGTCTAAGTGTTTTTTCCCCACCTCACCTTGCCCGAAACGCTATGTGTACTAGTGGCTTTAGGTATTGTGTGTACTAGCTCTATCTATAAAACCAACATTATGTTTGTAAATCAAATATGTATGTACTTTCCTGAATAAAATTTACCTTACTTTCAAATGTAGATATGATAGAGCCCAATAGACTAAGGAATCTGTACACTAGTTGATTGACAGTTGAGAGGCGGGACCAAAGAGCCGAAGCTCAACCCCCGCAAGCTCAACTAGGTGAGTACAGGTAAATTCAGGTAGATACGTCAGCATATTATCTGTTGTAAACTCAATGAACCAGCAACGAGGAAACGTCTTTGTATTTTGAGCTAAAAGAAGGAAAATAAATCAATAATATTTTTGTCTTTACTTTTACAGCAAAATAAGGGGAATGTCATGTTAAAATACGATAAATAATACCATTACGTGTGCAAAAAAATATGTTATTACGTAGGTTATACTTGAGGATAAAGTATAAATTACATATTGAAGTGTATGTGGTGTTAGAATGTATGTGGCGGGTTGAGGAAGGTGTTTGTGTGTGAGGAGTGATAGTGTGTTGGCCGCCGCCTGACAGGGGATCCCGCCCGCCACCACTCACTCTCCTCCTTATCGCCACGAAGCAAGATGAAAACAACTTTGGTGTTGGGAGTCATATTTTCGTGTATCACAGCCACATTTGCTGTCGTCTACAAAAATGGAGACGAGGTATGACCCTAACCTTCTTGTGCTCTTGTTAGACGCTGCTGTCAGTATAGTGGCGCTGAAGAAATACGTTCAATTGCTCTATTGGAAACTTGACTCTATTTCATCAATAGCATTGCTAGGCAACTCATAACAACAATAATAATAATAATAATAAAAGGCAAATGGATAAATAGCCTAAGCACTAGTTAGGAGTAACTGCCTTGTTGAGGAATAACATCAGTATGTGAGTGTCACACTTCCACGAGTATTTTATACAATACCAACTAAACGTTAATAATTGTTTTAAAGGATTATGTGTTCTAAGTGGAATCTGGGTTTGTGTAGTGGGCAGGCTGGGGAGCTTTTCCCCATTCCTTCATTAATTGGGGCCGTGAATGTAGACAGTTTTGGTAGAACAAACGCCCGAAACGCTGCGTGTACTAGTGGCTTTACAAGATTGTAAATACTATGCTATGTATTCTCTCAAACCCAATGTACCTTCTTGTATATAAATGAATAATTAACATACTTTAGTGTAAATGTTCCATACCATATTGGTCTCTGACCCAACTGTCAGTTGAGTCTACCCATGTATCACATTCTAACAATGTGCAACCATGTTGGAACAGGCAAGTGTACAAAATTTTTATTTTTAAAACATTGTGATAAGTTAATAAACAAAAGTTAATTTTTGGAAGAAAGATGCAAATGTAATCTATATGTAGAACCTCTACCAGAGAAATATTTTAAGTAATCAAAAGATATATGTACTGTAATTGTATAAATTCTCTCGAGCTCTAAACCTGCAATAATTTTATTTTATTTATATATACAAGAGTTCTTACATTCTTGTACAGCCACATTCACTGTACCCATTCACTGCTGGGTGAACAGAAGCTACAGTTAAGGATTGGCATCCAGTCAATCCTCCCCGGCCAGGATACGAATCCAGACCAAAGCGCTCGGGAAGCGCAGGACAAGTGTGTTACACTGCCCAATGGGGACTGCTGTCTCAGAATGTCTATTTCATATACCATAGATACGTTAATAAACTTGAGTGTTTTATGTCTCAAGAAAGATAGAAATACCTATAAGCTTTATTTTAAATCCTTTACCATGGAAATATTTAAAGCTAAGCGAAGATACACGTATTTTTATAATTGCTTTGAGCGGCCTGTCGATCATGGAGTATAGATTGTCATCCACACTTTCATGGAAATAAACATTCCATTCACCCGGCCTCTAGGAGACTCGAACTGCGGATCCCACACGTGTGAGGCTGAAGCTCTATCGACCGAGCTATTGAGTAGTCTTAATAAGGAAAGTTTCCTTTCCTTATTTAGACTAACTTATTAAGGAAAGTTGGATCACTATTTCCTCTGAGCTTCAGTAGTAGTTCAAGAAAGTTGAAAATTCCAGTTTGGCAGCAGGATGCTGCTTCTGGAAACTTTCCTGGAAACTTTCGCCCGAAACGCTGCGAGCACTTTGCGCTAACTTTTTTTTCTCGTTTGCTGGGAGGAGCAAAGTGTTAAGACTACTCAATAGCTTGGTCGATAGAGCTTCGGTCTCACACAGGTGGGGTCCACGGTTCGAGTCTTCTAGGACCCAGGTGAATGGAAGGATCATGGCGTGCCGAAGCCTACACACTGGCCAATATGTAATTGAGAGATACGCTAATAAAGCTTAAAATATTATATGCCTTCAGAAAGATGGAGATATAATCACTATTGTGAGTGCATCACAGGAATATATCTTATCGGAGAACAAAGATATTTCAGATTCGTTCTCGAATGTGTGAAAGTTGTAAGTCAATATGTTTTGAAATGAAGTCAAGAAAAAATAACCCCCCCATAAAAATAAAATGTAGGGATAAGTATAATTATTGAGAAGATATATATATGTGTTTATTTATATACAAGAAGGTACATTGGGATCATGAGAGTAGACTTGATTTTTTTTTTTTTTTTTTACATTGTTAAGACACTAGCACGCATAGCATTTTGGGCAAATCCTTAATCTAACATGTAATTTTAAGAAGGTAATTTCTAGCAAAATTAAAATTTTTTTACAGGTACATTGTAAGAAAGCACAAAAAGAACATTGTATAAGAAAAAAAAGTAGGTACATTAAAGTAAATTTAAGGGTAATCCACAGGTACATTTCAGCATAATTTGAGGAATATTGCCATATATAATATAGCAAACTATGTGTATAATATGTGTATAATATGATACAAGATAGTAGCAATGATTAGAATGGTAAAGTTGTATGTCATAGGTACATATATTGAGGAATTGGGTAGCACTAGATACAGTGCGAGTTTCAAGCACTTGGTAGGATGTATACATTTTATAAGTGATAAAGCCTTAATTTGGTCCCCAATCCCCAAAATAACCTAAAAACACAAAGAAAATAGTTTGAAATCTTTGAAAAAATCAGCCAAAAAAATTCTGCCACCTGTGGCCGATTTACATATTCACCAATTTTATTCCAACTTCACATCTTTAGTGACGGGTATTCATTCTCCAAGATGTAGAAGCCACAACAAAATCAGATGAGAAAAAAAAGGCTCCCCTAATTTTTTATTTATTTTTTGACATTGGTGGAACTAACAGATATTGGCAGTGAACGATGTATTTATGATACATAACGAAATACAGCATAATAACATACTTACTCATTATTGTGTTATTATGTATTACTCAGTAATGCTAGAAAGGCACCAGCTGCATATCCACTTTGTGGACCCTCCTTGCTACTTTCTTCTTTGTGTGTCAGACAGGTGCTTGCATTTCTTCATCACTGCATTATTCCTCAGTTCCAGTTAATAGCAACTGTTCTCCTTATCAGCATTTTTATTTTTTTATATATTCAGGTAAAATCCATTTCTTAACGTGTTAGGATGAAATTTTCACAACGCTGTTGCCAAAAAATGGGAGTTTTGTATAACATTTTCAAGTAATTTTCATTAAATTGAAATATTTTTTGAACTCCTGGCACCTAAAAGAGGTGCCATTGGATGCCATCGGGTGATGCCACTGGAAGTCAATGATCCAAGTTCTAATGTTTGTGGAGCGACTCAAGATACATATTTTCCTGGAGAGCGATTGCTGGCATATCAGCCTCCTTTACACAGTGATTGAATTGTTGTATTTCTCTGCTCAACTTACTGCAAATATAATTTATATTAACTATAGCAGAATACATATTTTCAATAATATTTTGCATAAATTGCCATAAAATATTTCAGATTTATTGAAAAAATGTGTCTGGGGCTTAAATCAACTGCAAAAGACATGTAGATTCTGCTTGCAAACACAGACCACACAATACTGGTAAATTATGTAATTCATATTAGTGTTTTATATTTCATTAGAAACAAAAATATAAACTGTGTTGTCAGACGTTATAAATATATAAAAGTATATTCAAGTGTGTGCTCACGAGAGAGGGAGAGGGAGAGGGAGAAAGAGGGAGAGGGAGAAGTAGAGAGAGGAGGGAGAGGGGGAGGGAGAGGGGGAGGGAGAGGGGAAGGGGGAGGGGGAGGGAGAGGGGAAGGGGGAGGGGGAGGGGGAGGGGAGGGGGGAGGGGGAGAGGGAGGGAGGGAGAGGGAGGAGAAGGGGTGTGAGAGGGGGAGGGGGAGGGAGAGGGGGAGAGGGGGAGGGGGGATGGAGAGGGAGGGAGAGGGGGGAGGGGGGGACGGAGAGGGGGGAGGGGGGGGACGGAGAGGGGGGAGGGGGGAGGGAGATTGCGCATAGACGCAATAAAGCACCTAAATTATTGGGATCGTCTCAAAGCCCTCCAAATGTACTCACTAGAAAGAAGACGAGAGAGATCAAATAATATACACCTGGAAGATACTGGAGGGCCAAGTACCAAATCTACACAGTAAAATAACAATGTACTGGAGTAAACGATATGGAAGAAAATGCAGAATCAACCAGTGAAGAGCAGAGGTGCCATAGGCACAATCAGAGAACATTGTATAAACATCAGAGGTCTGCGGTTGTTTAACGTCCTCCCAGCAAGCATAAGAAATATTGCCGGAACAACCGTGGACATCTTCAAGAGGAAAAGAGATTTATTCCTCCAAGGAGTGCCGGACCAACCGGGCTGTGGTGGGTATGTGGGCCTGCGGGCCGCCCCAAGCAACAGCCTAGTGGACCAAACTCTCACAAGTCAAGCCTGGCCTCGGGCCGGGCTTGGGGAGTAGAAGAACTCCCAGAACCCCATCAACCAGGTATCAACCAGGAGGGAGGGAGAGGGGGCGGGAGGGAGGGAGAGGGGGGAGGGGGGGAGGGAAGGAGAGGGGGAGGGAGAGAGAAAGGGGGGGAGGGTAGGAGAGGGAGGGAGGGAGGGGGGAAGGGAGAGGGGGCTGATGGAGGGAGAGAGTGTGAGAGGGAGGGAGGGAGGGAGGGAGGGAGGGAGGGAGGGAGAGTGAGAGGGAGGTGTGGGAAAAACCTGCTGGGATTGATATGAGAGGAGTACTACCAGGGACCTGTACTGAACTAAATTAAAAATTACTGTCTGCAAATTAATTCAACTAAAATCTCTAGCTAGGGTTGTAAATCCTAGCTCCTCTTTTCCTAATGACAGATTGTGGGCTGTAAGGGGGCAGGTGGGGTGAATGAATTAGTTGATAGGTTGATTGAAGATCCACAGTCCACCTGCCAACAGGTATCTCACATCAGCTTGTATTTAATACAAGGATAAGATTTAATAAATTCAGTTATATGACTGAACACTGGCTCTGTTTAAATCAGAGATTTAAACATGTACATAGTTTAGCCTAGCACCATAATTATTAACAGCCAATATTCTTATACTATAAACAACAATTTAAATTGTAAAAGTATAATAAATGACTTTAAATGTAGTCTAAGTACAGTACTGTTACTAAGTACTAGAAATTATATTCAATTAAATGAACTTACATGATAACTTGAAAAATAACTAAGCAAGCAATTGTTAACTTAATTTATATATTCAAGTATATATGCAATGTATTTATATTCAATTTA